GGAGGAGATTGCAACAGCACTGATATAAAATGGCTTAATAAAAGGTGATGGAGCCACAGTCATTGTAGAGATAGTGCCTGCAGGAAGTCCTGCTTCCTTTGAAGCTAAGGGCAGGATGGAAGCAGATTCACTGACACCCCAAAAACATTCTCCCCATCCTTAATCCCTTTCATTTCCTTTCCTTATTGTTTACATAACCATGGGGGTTCAAAACCTGCAGGAAACAAGTTGAATTCTCAGGCTTTCACTGCAGAATGTGATGCTTAGCTCAACTGAGGCACGTGGATCCCAACTGGGTAGAAGCCATTGTCCAAATCCTGCTCATCTGGGTCTCCCAGGAGATGGGATCTGAGCCCACACCTGAATCTAAGGTTGCATTCCTCCCTACTAAATTACAGCTCTGACTCCAGGGAGGGATTAAGATGTGAGTTGTGGTTTAAAAGGCCATCAGAGTCTGACTGAAAGCTGGTCCCACCATGTCTGCCAGCAGCCCAATATTCACATGTGCACACAGGCTTTGTGTGTGCAGCCAGAGCCACCCTCTGCATCTGAAATAATTTCCATGGCCCACTGGCTATTCCCACAGACAGGAAGGGCAAAACGGGACAGAATGAATAGAAAAGGATTGGTAAAAATATATAAGGAAACCACTGGGAATATGTCAAAGGTAATCAAGCTATTGTGCTTCATGGGACCTGCTAGCCACTTATTGCTCTGTGCTTTGTTATGGACAAAGGTGTAAACTGCTTTGTTGCAGCCTAAATCAGCCACACCAGGAGACACTCTGCTTCTCCCACTGGAACTGAAAGCTGGAGTCAGCCCTGGGGCTTGTGAGATTTGTCTCTTAAGGCATTTTTACTCTAAAAATCAGTGCAGGTAAATCCAAGCATAGTGGCTGAAGCTCAACTGTGACACAGTGACAACAGCACCAGAGAAAGGCTTTGTGCAGATCCTGATGCTTGTGGGACACAGCAGTGTGAGCTGCCCCCTCCAGTGAGCTCAGCTGGCCCAGGGTGGGTGGTTGAGAAGTGAGTGAAGGCACGAGCAGGCAGCTGGTCAGGGGCAATTGCTCAGCTCTGTGGGGTCAGGATGGCATTCAGTGCTGCAGTGCACCTTAGAGCAGCAGTTCCAATCCATGCTCCATGGGTACTTTGCTGACTAGGACACTGTTTTCCTTCCAGCACTGTGTTTTGCTTGTCATAGCTGCAGACTCCCTCAGGCTGGCAGGCAATGCTAAACACAATGTAGTCAATACATTACTGTCCACCACAGACTGGAAAAAGTTGAGAACCATTCTCTGAATTTGAGTTTGTCCATATTGCTTGTTCAGTGCCTGCAATTTGTTCCACAGCAGCAATCTTGTGCTCTGTGAGAGATTATGGCTGTTCCAGGCAGAAGGGAAACCTTCAGGTGGTGAGGTGGGAAAGAGCTATGATAGAGCAGGGCAGGACAGATGTACTTGTCACAGATGTTCTTTGTTCTTCAAACAAAGAAGGAAAATAATAGTAAATTGACTTTTTCTTAATTTCCCCTCTGTCTTTACCTGATGTCATGCCTGAGGGCATAAATGTTTTCAATATAAAAAATATATTGCAGGTCTCCAGGTGATGGCCTTGGGACACAGCCTGAGAAGCAGTGGCATTTGTCTGCTTCCCAGAGAAATTCTCTGAGAAGCCCTGCTTGCTTTTCTCCTCTACCCCACTCTTCCCTAGGGCTCTCTAACTGTCTGGCTGCTTCCCTATGACAGTCCTGAAGGAAGTTCCCTTCCCTTCCTTCAGTCCTGAAGGAAGTCAGGCTGAAAGCCTCGCTTCCCAATTCACAGGAAGGTAGTGCTGACTTCTGGAAACACAATGGAATAAGGAACATCACAGGTCCTCCATCAGAGCTGGCTTTTGTGAGCACAAAACCTCTCCCCTGGGCATTCCCACCTAGATGGAAACCTCTGGTGATTTTCAGGACTTTACATTCCCAGACCCTGACAGCAGTTTCATACACTAGCTAAAGCAGGAAAGCCCTTAGCAATGGCACTGTCGTTTGGGCTCTAGGAACAGTCCTCATTGGAGTGGAGGCCCAAGAGCTCCTCAGCCAAGCTGATGAGACCATTTTCTTCCAGGGCTGCGATCAGCCGTGCTATTGTGGCCTTCTTCCCCTCTGACTGGATAAATCTGAGAAGCATCTGATAGGCTTGTTCATATAGTCCCTCTCGGTCATACTCCAGGGCCAGGTTATCAATGACAGGATCACGCAGGGCCCGGCAGCTCTTCTGCAAAGAGCGACCCACTTGCTTCCACTTCTTGGACACAAACTTGGCAAATTTCTGGTGGTCATCTGGTGTGATCGTTCTGTTGTCTGAAAGGGACAAAGGGCAGGTAAAACATAGAGGTTTCATGACTGATGTGATGCAGCTTGGGCCAGTCCAAGGTTTGGTCAATATTCTGTGGAGCAGGGAGGTCTGTTCAGTGTCCACAGCATGTTATTAAACAGCTGTGGAACTGCTCTGCTTGTCCTCCAGTGTTTTACCACCAGGGCAGCACTCTGAGGTTGTGGTAGAAGTGCAAGAGCAGTGAAGCTAAAGGGACTGCCCTGGCATGGACAGTGGGTCATGCATACAGGTCTCTTGGTCAGTTCTAACTACTCACCAAACTGTTGTCCCTGAAAGATGAAGGTGACTTGTGGGGAAAGGGAGCTGTCTTGAGAAGGATAAGGCAGAGATGAGGACTTCAGAGATGTGCAGCCTTTTACAGCCACGTTGTTGTTGATGCTCTGGTGAACAATCAGGCTCTTGAGGCATTCCTCCAGCTCCGTGATCTCTTCATCCCGCAGACGGTCAGGCTGCAATGCAAACAGCATCAGTGACTCGGGCCAGGGTCACCACCTTGCAAAGCTGCAGATCCTTGGCTGGAAGGTGCAGCTTAAGATGATGGTGTGAACAGAGGAGAAATGAGATAGCTACAGCATGAGTTGTAAAACAGCCAAATGAGATGGTCTAAGGGAGCTCTGGCTATAAATGTGTGAATTGGAATCTCTAATGTGATATGAAATAAGGCAATCTCCCTCTCCTGGGTTTCTCATGTGCAGCAGTGAGTGCTTACAAGTTGCACAAAACTGTTACTAGCCCATGTTTAATTTCAGCAGCCCTCTGCAAGCATTAGGGTGCACTACAGGCAACAAAGGCTTCTCCAAACTCCATATGAGGGTCAAACCCACTGAATAGGGTGACCTGATCCAATGGCTCATGGCCACCAAAGCAGGCAGCTCCTGTTACCTGCCTTCTCTCTCTCTCTGCCCCTCTGTTACCTAACATTTGTTGTTCCTGGGTCATCACTAAGTCAGTTTTTCTTGCTAACCAAGAGACAACTAGTCTGACCTCCAAAAAGCAGGTAATGAGAAAACAGAAGGCAAAGCACATGGAAGAGTCAAACCTGGTGAGTGCTCTCATTCAGTCAGAGCTAAACACTAGTTTAGATCACATACAGTAGGTACCCAGCACTGCCCTCAGCTGCTGATGGCTGTGGCCTAGTGTCATCTTTCTGACTGTTGCACTGTTACACAGGGGTCAGACCAAGTCACTTTTGGGGAACTGAGAATAAGACCATCTTTTGTCCAATCAGCTAGTTCAGCAGAGGGAGGAAGCAGCAAGACAAAGCTGACAGGGTATGGGATGTCACATGTTTGGTGATGAAAGGTTTGTTTCTTTCTCTGCTCTTGCAGAATGCAAAACATGCTCTTGTGCCTAATCTTCCTGAGAAGATGGTGACTGCCAGTTTCTCGGGACAGAATCACAGAGCGTTTGGAGTTGGAAAGGACCCACAAGGACCATCGAGTCCAAGTCTTGGCCCTGAACAGGACATCTCCAATAATCACACCATGTGCCTGAAAGCATTGTCCAAATGCTGCTTGAACTTTGTCAGGACAATCTAGAGGAACCAGAGCTATAGTTCCAGATGGAAAAAAAGAGGAGGGGAGGAAGGTAATGAGTTCAACCATGTCGAGTGCCTTGGTTTTGTGATGACAAGATCTCACTGTTCTTGCAAGCAGGATTAGAGTGCCAGTGCCAAAGTGTGATGAACTAGACGTCAGATATCACCCCTGAGACTTTGCCTTCAGAAGGGCAGAATACTCCTGCTGGCAACAGATGCTGCATGTCCCCAGTCTGCCACAAGCTGTTGGTGTAATGCACAGTGTTTGCGCTCACACGCCCTTCCAGGTGCAGTTACCATTGCTGCCCTTGCAGGAGGTGGTGTGTGAGGTGGGGGAGGAAGGTGTGGAGCAGTTCTGTGCAGGATTGCTGTCCTCTCTGCCTGCCTCACAGCTGTATCAAGGCACACTTGTGCTCTCAGCTGCACCATCTAGAATTGCTCATCTTAGTGGGGATAACAGAAGCCACAGTGATCTAGCAGGATCTCTGTAGGCTGGTTTAGGTAACTCTTTTGCCCTTCCAGAAGAGTACACAGCTCTTTTCTGGGGAAGGGCAGAGCTGTTTCTCCACATTACAGTTGAGAACTGAAGGATACAGAAGTTTGTCAGCCCAACATGCTGCATCAGAACAAGATTTTCACCCCCTTTCACAAGGCCTGTGGCACCACTCCTCATTGCTGCCTGGCCTCCCTCCCTCTCCCATTCACCTTTTCTCTGTAGATGCACTCCAGGCAATGATCCTCATCCTTCAGTATGTTGTCAAGGTGTTCGTTGCCAGCCTTCAGCTCCATTTCAAGAGGCACTGTGGTCATGGCCAAGAAGACCTGGAGGTGATTCTGGAGGGACTTCTGGAGTGCTCCTTCCCGGTAACTCTGCAGGAACCGGCGGCAGTTCTCCTGCTTGCAGAACTTGAGCTGGACTATCAGGTGTGGGTGGCTGCAGTGCACTTTGAGCATGTCCACACCATTCACACTGCCCGTGGAGTCTGGCAGGGAGAAGTGAGCAGTCACTACCCAAGCATGAGACAGCCCACCCAGACCCACTCCTATCCACCACCAAGTCTGCTATGGAGTAGCTTTTGAATTCTCTCTGGGATAAAGTCCTCTGGGAAGAAAAACCTGTATGTAAAACCAAGAAGGAAGGATTAAGATTTTGCTGCCCTGACACCACTGATCTCCAAGCAGTATGGTGTCCAACTGAAGACATATGGAACTACATGCCAGGTAATTATATCAACGCTATTTATTAGGGGAAGTTTTAAATTTGAGTTTCCATTTCCAGGGCAGAGATGCTTATGCTACACTGGTAGCACAGGAAAGTTTCATAGATGAAAACTCAGTTCAACTCAGTGCTCAGTCAGTCTTCAGTCCTTGTGACTGCAGTTTTATGCAGTGTTGAAGGTCCTGGAAAAAGACATAGCATTTCCTCTCCAGCCCATGCCCAGAGGAAACTTTTGGTTGGCTATGAGCCTTCAACATATCTCACAAATGGCAAATGACAGATCCAGCCACAGGAATTAAGCTGCTTGAGATTGTGCCTTGACTTGTTAAGCTCTTTTGTACAGAGAATTCACAGCAAAATCTAAGCAAGGAGAAGTCAGGGATGTACCCTTGAACATTTGTGTGGGAGGAACATAAGCCATGTGGACAACAGAAATTGTCAGGCCTTGATTCTTCCCTGTCCCAGCAAAATTAAATGTTTATTAGCTGTGCATGTTGACCTTGTGTCTACAGGGATTGTATATGCTGATGGTGACAGTTCAAAGTATGTGTTTTTCTCTTTTTTTGCAGCAGAGCCCCATGGGAGACTGCTGTACCGATTCCAGACCTGACCTAACCTCTTGGCCTGTCACACAGGGCTGTTTGGAGGCACATCGTGGCATGGAGGACAATTCCAAGGCTTTGTTTTGTGTGAGTGCTTATTAAACAAGTTTCTATAACAGGGTAAGAGAGCTGGGGAGGGAGAGCTGCACAGACATAGAAACCTTTATGAATAGTGTACAAGACAGCTGTGAAGCTACCTCAAAAGACAGGATTCTGCATGCATTTCTTCGTGCAACCTCAGACAGCTTCAGATTTCATGTCCTCTGAATAAGCATGGTAGGATTTCAGCTTTGTGGGCCTTCCTTTAAATGTGTGGGCAGATTCACATTCCAGTGCCACAAAGCAGCCATAGATCAGGCCTAACTACACAACTGTGTTTGGCTTCCTGCTATTTCCCATCTTTGGATAGAGCTGAAAGATGAGCAGGCCTGTATTGGATAAACTAGCTGACTTGGCTAGACTCGTGACTGCTAGAAGAAATTAGCAAATAGTTACACCAGCCCAATTAAACAATCTAGACTCAGCTGTGTGACAGGTAAAGAACAGCAGGAGAGTCATTCTAGGTAAGTATGATAAACCCTTCAAATTACTATTATCCTGCAGTGTGCTTGCTGCAAGGGTGAATACAGTTTTGTGGCCATTTGCATCTCAAGACCTTTCTTGAGGTAACTAGGGTTACATACACTTGAAGCTCATGCAAGTGTGCCTGTTCAAATCAGAAAAGAATTTATACTGGCTACCATTAATTTTAAAACTCAGCTTCTCAAAGCAGAAATCATGTTTGTGGTGGTATAGAGATAGAAATTAAATGTTATTTCATAGAAATTGCAATCTTTTTCCCTCTTACATAAATGAGTTTAAACAAACATTCTCAAAGTAGGATAATTCACAGGATAGCTCAAGTTGGAAGGAAGCCCAGGCAGTGTCTAGCCCAACCTCTCATGCAAAACAGGGTCAGCTCTGAGGTCAGAACGAGTTGCTCAGGGCTTTATCTAGTCCTGTTTTGAAAGCTCTCAAGGATGGAGAATGCACAGTTGCTCTGGGCAAGTGCCTGACAGTCTTCATGGCGAAAATGTTTGTCCTTCTGTCTGGTGTCTACCTTTCGTATCGATTTGTGCCCGTTGCCTCTCATGGACCACCATGAAGAGTGTGGCTCCATCTCCCCCTACCCACAGGTATTGGCAGGCCCAGAGCCTTCTCTTCCCCAGGCTGAACAGGTCCAACTCCCTCAGCCTTTACTCACAGAACAAATGTTCCAGCCCCCAACTATCCTGGTGAACCTCTGCTGAACTTGCATCACTTTTACCATCTTTCCTAAATACAGTGAGCACCATCTTTCATCACCCATGAGTGTGAGATGGAAGAAAGGCATGGTACTGTGTGAAGAGAGGAGGGGACACACCAAGATATAGAGAGGACGGATACCTGCCAATGCCAGCTTCAGAGCCTTGAACACACTGGGCTTCTTCTGGGAGCTTTCGTAGAGAGACGGCAGAACGATGGACTTGCACGTTGACTGGAGGAAGAGGTAAGCGCTGCCGATCCAAGGAGCAGAGCTGCTTGCCATCTTCAGCACCCTACAAAATCACACAGGCAAGCTGAGACACCATAGGGAAAATGGCCTGATGCTGGGGCAGTGCTTATAGTAAACACTAAGTGCAAGCATGACAGAATTATGGAGATTTACCCTCATTTCTCACAGGAGGACTGATGTTATTAAAGCAAGCGGTAACCTTTGGAGAGTTTACTGTTACTCTGTGAAGCGCAGCACAGTGGGACATGGTGTCCCAAAGACAGCAGCTCATAAGGCTCTGCTTTCATTTTCTACTAACATCCATTCATTTTATAGCCCGAAGATACCCCAAAGCAAAGAGGTCAATCCTTGTGCCTCTGACTGACCAGCCAAGCTGGAAAAGTCTGAAGATGCATAGCTGAGGTGCCCCAGGGAGCACCCAGCAGTCTTGGTTCTGGCACATTCCCATGGACTGAGGTCCTATTGCAGGCAGAGGTGTTTTGCCTGAGGTCCTGGTCTCCTGGTTGTGCTCAGTAAAGGATATGTTACAGACCCCAGAGATCTCTGAGCAGGACACTCTATGCAGATAGGACAAGGGGTAATGGTTCTAAACTAGAAGAGGATAGATTTAGACTAGATATAAGCAAGACATTTTTTACAACGAGGGTGGTGAAACACTGGCACAGGTTGCAGAGAGGTGGTGCATGCCCCATCTCCAAAGATATTCAAAGATTATTCAAAGATATCTCCAAAGATATCTCCAAAGATATTCAAGGTCAGGTTGGTCGAGACTGTGAGCAACCTGGTCTGGCTGAA